CCTGACTGAATTCAGTGCTCCTCCCCAGGGCGCCTCCACCCTGAGTCTCTTCGCTGACCTCCTGTGAGGAGATGGGTGGTGCAGCAATCTCAGAAGGAAGCCCCACTCCAGATGGCTGCACGGCTCACTCTCCCACAGCCCTAACGCTGGGCCTCGGTGTTCTCAGAGACGGGTCAGCCATCCTCGTCCTGACCACTTTGCAGAGATGCTGTGCACCACTGGTCAGTGCCGCTCACAAATGCACTTGTTTATCTGCTGTCACTTGTCCAAACACTGGAACGAAAGGACCAGGAGGCAGGGCATTTGCTTCCATGAGGACAGAGAGAGTCCATGAATTCCATTGCTTTCTTTTATTTTCTTTTCCGGTCTCATTTTTTTCTGTTCCCAAAGATCAGCATAATCAGATATGTGTATCCCAATTATTTTTTTTATTGTCAAGGTGCTGTAGAGGGGTTACAGTTACATAAGTAACGTAATAAGTACATTTCTTGTCCAGCTTTTTTTTGTGGAATTTTTTATTGTAAAAATACTGTACAGAGGGGTTACAATTACATGGGCAAGATAATGAGTACATTTCTCATCAAGCATTGTAGCCTCCTCCTTTGTTTCCACTTCCCATCTCTTCCCAGCCTCTCCCTGACCCCCCACCCAAACCCCCCCCCACCAAAGTTGTAAAGTTAGTTTTCGACATGACAACTTACACTTTTCATTGTTGCAACAGGTCCACCTGTATCCTTATTTAAACGACTTGTTTTTCTTGTCCAACTTTTTAACCACTGTGTCTGTAGGACCTAGAGTTCTCAAGTACTGTTTGAATAACCGAACACATGACACAATGAGAGGAGGTCAGGTGCTCTGGTGTACACACAGCAATAAGGAGAAGAGCTAGTGTTGAAAGATACCAAAACTCACACATTTCCTGTTCCAGAGATGAGTTCACTTGTTTGTTGCCTTGATATGGCCCCATGGTTCACCATTCACCACAAATAAATAATAGACGCCAATGCCCCTCAGTGTCATGTGTAGGTAGATGATGATGATAATGATGATGATGAAGATAGATAAAAACCTTTTTCAGAAAAAAACACTCAAATAGGAAATACTTAAATATGGATCTCTCTGAGATTTTTCAAAAAAAAATCTGTAGCTACCAAGTTTCTATGAGTCCCATGCTTCTTTAATGCCATAGACTCTGGAGTTTGACAATTCCTATAATCAAAAATTCCTCCAAGTTCCCAACCAAACTCATACTTGAAGTACAAGGTTCATTAGGCCAACAGCTTGTAATGGACTAGGCCCATTAAATCCAACTTTGGGAAAGTTAACGCTTGTGAATGAGCCCTTGCTAAGTAATGTAATTACAGCTATGAAGGAAAGCCAAGAAATCTTCCATGTACTTTGAAGTGAGTTTTAAATTGAAAAAGGGTGTCTTTTGAGTAAAATCACCTTGAAAAGGAGAAAGCATTAAGAGAAAAAGATTGCCATGTGGTAAAATGCTTTTTATCAGATGGAAGAGGATTAAGAGGGTATCTAATTATTGCAAGTTAGTTGGCTGGCTCCTAGAGTGGAAAATAGAAGTGCGCAGCAGCTGGGGCTCCTGGGGAATTCTGGAGTCCTGGCATCAATGTGGAGTTTTCTCTAAGGAGAAGCCAGGGGTACCCTGAAGCCGGTTGGGTGAGCCCAGCTGCATGTTTTGGAGAGGGTTCTCAGTGAGGACGTAAGTCATCCTGCACACAGAGCCATGCTGTATCCAGAGAGCAATCGTGGCAGAGCACAAAGCAATGTCACTTCTAGGGCACAGACCTGGGGAAGCAGAACCTTCTGGCAGACAGTCGCTCACCAGATGTCATTGAGGAGCCCGGAAGTGTCAGGGGAGAAGAGCGGAGCCTCTCCACCCACTGCCCCTGAAGGTCATTCACTGAGGGCTCCTGTGTGTGCAAAGTCAATGCAAATCAGGTCCTTAATCCACTCTTCAGATCTCCTTCACAGATTCCATTTCTGTGCATTCATTTATAAACAAAATGGAAACCTTTGCATTGTTCTGGGATTGTTTTTTCCTCGTAGGAGTGATTTTCTCATCTCTGACAGACATTTTTGCTGCCCATTTCCCTGGAGTTTCCCCTACATACTTACAGAAAGCGTCACTTACAGAAAGGGCATAAAGCAAATTATGGTTCACTAATGAACCCTGACTTGATGGTAAGGTCATCAAGGTGAGGTCCCCAGGCTTCTGCTCATTTTATTCTGGTAGAGGTGTATCCAGTGCCTTGGCTCACGCTGTATTTGACTTCACATTGACCCAAAATGACACTTCAAAATTCTCCATCTCTGAAGGCATTTGACTCAAAAGCTATTTTTTTTTTTTGGTTGGCCGTGGGGCTTGAACTCTGGGCCTGGGCGCTGTCCCTCAGCTCTTCAGTTCAAGGCGAGCACTCTACCATTTGAGCTACAGCGCCACTTCCGGTTTTCTGGTGGTTTATTGGAGATAGGAGTCTCGCGGTCTTTCCTGCCCGGGCTGGCTTTGAACCGCGATCCTCAGATCTCAGCCTCCTGAATAGCTAGGATTACAGGCGTGAGCCACCAGCGCCCGGCTTCTTAGTAAGATTCTTTTGTTTGTTTGTTTTGTTTTTGTTTTTGTTTTGGGTCCGGTTGTGGGGCCTGAACTCTGGGTCTGGGCACTATCCCTCAGCTCTTCAGCTCAAGGCTAGTGCTCTACCACCTGAGCCACAGTGCCACTTCCGGCTTTTTTTCTTTTTGCTTATGTGGTGCTGAGGAATCAAACCCAGGGCCTCAGGCATGCAAGGCAAGCACTCTACGACTGAGCCACCTTCCCAGCCCTAAAAGCTATGTTTTAAAAAGCTATCCATTTATTAATTTTTTTCTAGCTAACATTTAAAAATTTAACAAGATATCAGATCAAAATATAATTAGTTCATAGCCTTGATAAATTAATATTGTTTTCCCAGTAAACTATGTTACCATGACTTAGCTGTGAAATTTTCTTTGGAATTTTGAAGTATGAAAAATGCCATAAACAAGTACGAGATAAGCATACTAGCATGTTTGGGTTTTGGAGAGGGCCCTCTTCGTGGTTTGCACACAGCAGATTTCTCCCTCTGGGCTCACAGGCCCTGCTCTTTCTGAGCAAGTGGATAGAGAAAGCTCCTCATGCCTGTTCTCATAAGAGCTCTAATTCCACCATCAAGAGCAACCATTGAGACTTTATCCAACCCTATTATCTCCAAGGTCCTCATGTCAAAATACTGTCCAGGTAAAGGGTAATAGAAGAGAATCTGGAAAAACATATTTCAATACCCAAAACCCAAGAGTGTGGACTCTTCGAACACACACACACACACACACACACACACACACACACATTTATGAAGGCTCTCTAATAATCCTAAGAAAGATTTCATGAAGTAGATAGACCTTAATCTGTAGATGAGGAAATCATGTTTTAAACAAGCATACCTAAATTCTCTGAGGTGAGCTGTTTAATGAATAACAGAACCTGCAGTGAAAAAATAAAACTGAAATATTCTAACTATGAGCTTACACATTACCATATAATGGCCTCAATTCTAATACAAAGGTTTGGATGATACTAGAGACTGAGTCAATTGTGAATAAACTGTTTCATGGAAAGCTACATTGCTACATAGCTACATTGCTTAACAATATTGAGCCCATAGTAAAATATTAGTAGGAACTGATATTCTTATGCAATGTACTATTTAAATAGCTTTGTGGATTTTTCTTATATTTCAATCCTCTTAATTATGGAACCATGTGAGAACTATGAAAACTATCTTTGTATAAGATAATTTTTATCGTGCAATGTACAGAAATCCGGGTTGGGGTTTTGAATGTGCTAAAGCCAGGTTAGTTTCTAAAGAACTTTTTTCTGTCTTATATTTAGTGTTCAGTTGGTGACTCTTGTATATCCTCTGCGGGACTATCTTAGCATACATGCTTTCCTTTTATTTCCGCAAAAATACTGTGATTGAAACATTATTTCTCCCAAATTAATGTGACAACACAGGCAGAGGGTTAAATGGCTTCCCAGAATGCACGGCGCTGGGGAGTGGAGGGGCTGGAATTACAAGTGTGGCCTTGTTAGCTCCAGAGCCTGTGTTTGAAACTCAATACTCTATGATTATTTCTATTTTTGGAAGGAGGTTGTGCACTGACACGTCCATAAATGCCTACAGGGTACCTTAGTCAGACACCCCTTCACACTCTTCTTCATCCTCCTTCTTGCCATTTTCAGACTCATTTGGGCATCTAATGTCTCTGGATGCTGAATGCCTGCATCTAATATTCTGATTCTAAATATTTGTTCCAATTGAGTCGGGAGGGGGGGGATGTGATATAGCCTTGTATGAAGCACCTAGTCTGAAAGGAAAAGGGACCAAAGTTAGGAGCAGCCCTTTTGTAGAGAAACTTCTGTGCACAAAAGTATGGGCCAGCCTGTCAGATCCGCTCTCTTCCCACGCCACACCCTTCTTTATTGGTGGGACGCTAAGTAACCTGTGCGAGGCTGGCCAGCAGCTGGTCAGCAGCTGGTCAGCAGTCATACCCGGATGCAAAAAGCCAAGCCTGACCGACGCCAAAGCTCCCTTCATCCTCCACTGTGCCGGACCACCTCTCCTCCTGTGTGCGCCGTTTCTAAATCTGTTACAACTTGACAGGAGAATACTGTGATAATAAAAAGGCCAGAATTCTACCCCACCAAAGAACTCCACATAGAATTGAGTTAACTGAAGCGAGACAAGTCATATGCTGATATCATAATTTCTATTTATATATTTTTATGCAAATTCACTGGAGGACTGGGAACAGGAAGGGACCAACAAACAAAACTAACCAAAGAGTCACACCACAGTGAACTAAGCACAAGGGGGTGGAAGGAGGCTGAAGCATCTCATTTCAAGGTGTGAGGTTATGAAAGATTCGAAATAAAAAGCGCATATGATCTCCAGAGGACAGACGGACACATGGGTGTGTGCAAGCAGCTCAACTATCATGGATGTATTTTTCAAGGCTACCGGGGAATATCCAAGGAAAAGAGCAGCAGTGGTCTAAGGGTGTGTGTTCACTGCTGTTCTACTGGTCTTTATATGATTGTTCAAAGAGTGCTTGTTAGCATGGGAAATCCTGTCTTTCAGTGAATAAAAGCAATGCCCAGGGAACTCATATGAAAGAAATTTATTATCTGTCTTTTACTACTTGCAAATACACTGTGATGATTATGCGATAAAAAGACATAAAAGAGAAATATAGTGATGTATATTTCTGAAATCTTTTCCCAATGAATGAAGGAGAAATTCCAGAAACAAACAAACAAACATTCTAACTTGAGACTTTGAAAGTTGTGGGCAATCTGCACTTCCCAGCCTGTTGAATTTCTGGAAAGACACATTTTACTACTTTGCCTTTAAACTGACAGAGAACATTTGATGTGATAATGTGACAGACGTTCTCAAAGGCCACTATTGATTACTATTAGAGAATACGTCCATGTCATTAGTATTTGAAAAGTCAGGCCATATGTGTGTTCTAATCTCAACATTATCTCTAACTTCATCTTAAAATAAAGGCAGCAGTAATTTCCTGTTTGATTCACTAATTATGAAAATTGTATACATCATTTTGAAACTGATAATATTTAACAAAAGAGTAGTTACCATGAGACTACAGAAGAATGACACAGATAATGCTCATTATTATAAGAACACATTTCTTGCTGCCTTCTAGGTCAACATATGAGCATCTGTTTTAAAAAAAAACCTAGAACTAATTTTTAAATGGGATGCTTTTTTGGAACTTAGAAAATTACAGAAAATTATGTGTTTATATCTCATATCACCTTGTTAAAGACCCAGTACACTAACAGGAAAAGTGGAATTCTAAGAATAAATTGTGTATGTGATATTCATACCTAGGTGAAATGGAATTCTAAGAATAAATTGCATATGTAATATTCACACTAGGTGATTTACTTTTATTATAGACTATCGCCTCAAACAGTGAAAACCCTATCACTTACCTTCTTATGAAATACCACATCTGTTAAAATGCTATTATTTTAGTTGGTTACTACTTAAAGTCTTTGAAAGGTTCTCTAGAAAATAAGTGGATTTTACAAAATTCATTCCCAGTAGATGAAATGGATAGGTAAAATTCCCCATGTAGTACAACTCAGAGGAAAACATAGATAATCAGATTTCTTTATTTGCTTTCAGATTTTCAGGCGATGCTGGTTGGTTTTCAAGAAAGCGTCTAGCAAAGGACCCAGAAGGTTAGAAAAATTTCCAGATGAAAAAGCGGCTTATTTTCGAAACTTTCACAAGGTAAGTCACGGAGCTGGCCGTCACTGGGGAATAACCAGGTCCCCAACAGGATGTGGAGACGTGTTGCTGATAGATGATGCCTACAGAAGGCAGAAGTGCATGGCCGGGATAAAATGCCTCTGTTCTGAGAAATGCAAAAGTTATTTTTCTTCCTTCTTTTAATCATCAGCTGTAAATGCCAGGGGTGCATCTGCAGATCGTTTTTATTGCTACTTTGCAAAATGAGATGACACATATCTCAACCGGATCATTTCTGTAGGTGCTGAGTAAGCACTTCCTCCCTGTTCAGGTTAATTGTGCACTTGTTACATTGATTTAAACTCTGGCCAATATCTAGGAAATAAAACTTCTGAGACCAGCTTAACTACTGCTAATGATATCATTCACATGTAAGGCATTCACTGTTTAGTTGAGTTTTTAACAAGCAAATGGTCGTTGGGCATATGTAGAGATTTAGCATATGTTTAAAGCATATAGGTTTTCTAAGAATTAGAAGAGTAGATAACATAACTTCCAACGGGCAATGCATATGGCCTTCTAAAAATATCTTCGATAGAATCCTTAAATAAGTTTATAGGTTTAGTAAACATTAATTCTAATTACCCTTCGGTGGTACCATAGCATGTCATCCCAAATAATACATTGAATATCTGGATTTTTATTTTAGATGATATGCAGTTCTAATTTCTCTTTCTATTAGTAACATTGTTATCTGATAATAAATTCAACTAACCCATCTACACAAATAACTATCATGTAGATTATATTTAAACCTGTTACTGAAACAGCTGACTTTCTATAACTCTTTGTGACTTATATAGTTAATTGCCAGAAAAATTAAGTTCAAGTTTCTACTCCATCACTTAGGCATAGCTCATACATATTTGGTTTTCTCATGAGTGGATGTATTATTTTTTTTCCTTTTTTTTGCTGATCGTGGGGCCTAAACTCTGGGCCTGGGCACTGTCCCTCAGCTCTTCAGCTCAAGGCTAGCACTCTACCACTTGAGCCACAGCTCCACTTCTGGCTTTTTCTTCTTATGTGTTGCTGAGGAATTGAACCCAGTGCCTCATGCCTGCAAGGCAAGCACTTTACCACTGAGCCACCTTCTCAGCCCCTGGATGTATTTTTAAATTATCATAATACATGTGTCTAAAGATTATTTGAGAAATGATGTCTTCAAGCAGACAATACCATTTTACCTGTTCTCACTATGCAAGAAGTTAATTGAACTCTAGAGTCTTACTATTATTTTTGTATTATGATATAATAATCACTGGAATTTTGAAAATAAGGTTAAGCTTAATGAGGAATTTCTAGGTCATGAAATGTAAGCACCTGACATTTATGCTATGAGATGATTTTTAATTAAAAAATTTATTCAACAGAAGGCTTATGGTTATATAAGTCAGGCAGAGTACATTTCCTTCAGAACATTTCTCTGAAATCAGTACCCAGAGGCAGTAATGGTGGCACTGTCCTGTGTTCTAATCACTGTAAGGGTAAAGCAGAGGGACATCATTTTCAAGTTTAGATCTAGCAAGGGCAAAGAGCTGAGTAAGAGTGCTAGGCCCTGAGATCAAGCCCTAGTACAGGCCCAACGCAATTAAAAACTGTGGGGCTACAAATACATGAGGGCCATTAGTGCAGTATGTATGTTTGTGAGTCTACTGTGTCTAGTGCCAAGTTAGGTACTGAGGTTCAGAGGTGTCCTTGTCTGCATGCTAAGAACAGGGCTGCTGTCTGGAAAAATACCATACTGCATGTGAGAATTGAAGGATTTGGAGTCACCACTAAGTGCTTAATTTAATAACTCATTGTTTTACATTTTTGTATAATCTGACAACGTGAAAGATTTATAAATACATGAATAGCTAATGGTAATCAACTTTGATGAGTGATAGAGCAATAGTTCACTCTGCTTTTGGACATCAGGACTTTAAAATGGATGTGACATTAGACATTACTCTGTTTCAATAGAGCAAAGTAATAGAGGGAAATGGATTCCATGGAGGAAAGAAAAAAAAGCACTGGATTGTGAGAACTGAAAAGTTGCATTATGGGTTGATTTGCAAAGAAATTGCATACTCCAGTGCTGGCAAACTCTGAAAGCAGAGCTGGAGAATGGTAAATGCTTGAGGACTTGGTACAGAGTCTGTGAACACTTTACAAATGCAGTGAATTGGTTTTCCGAAAAGTTTAAAAGGCTTGTCATGTTTGTTAATGTTTTAAGTACTTTAAACTAGAAATTAGTCATTTTGACTTACTGTGAAGACTACTGTGGTGATTAGACAATACATTAAAATAACTGAGCAAATGAGTGAAATATTTGTAAACTGTAGGAGAGAATTTGGAAAAATAAACTAATAATACAATTATTTCTTTACCAACCTTAATTCTGTGGTCTGCCCTATCTGGAAAATATATACATTATCAACTAATGAGTATTGATGGTCTCATTTAGACATTTGATATGTTTACTGTGAGAGAGATCTTGCTGCATAAATCCGTTTTTATATGAAACTGTTGTAAAATGGCATATACTTCTTTAACTTCTTGCTGGAAAAGAATTTGAAATTCAAATTACTAGCTTCTGAAGGAAGTTATTAAAAATGCATTAGAGTTTGAAAATGTAGCTGTATGTAATTGTCATAACAGATATTCAAAACAAATTTATCCTAGATGAAAACTAAGCTAGAGCAATTTACATAGGATCAGCTAATAAATTTTCCTTAATTTTCTAAGCCGATGAAAAAAGAAACAGCTGATAGAAATGTTAATGAAATAAATAGGAGTGTTGCCTCTAGGGAGGGAAATATAAATAAAATCTACTGGAAGGATGAATGAAGACGGAGTAAAGTTCCAGAGATGAAAAATACAAGGTATCAGAAAAGTGATGCTTGAATTGAGACCTGTCTCCTGTCTAAATCCTCTATAGCCTGGTATTGTAACATCATTTTATCCTACCTGCTTTCCTCTGCCTAGCCTTAGCAGGGTTCTATTTAAAACACACTTTGGAGGTAGTCCAGGACTTACTTCTTGTGATGAAATCTTTACTGTGGAAACCTCTGTATGATTGATCTGAGCTTGACTTAGAGTAGGTAGCAGTTTGATTCATACTAGAAAAAAATGATCCTTTCACTTTTTAAAAAGCATTCCCTTAAAAGCAGAATGTCTTGGAAGTGCGGACGCAGACCATGCACAAAGAAGAACACTTACTTTGCTTTCATGAAGAGATGGTTCCATGCGTGGATGAGCACATACTTGATATTGTATGAAAGATGTTCAAAGGTTTGGTGGCTCTTGACATTCTGGCTAGAGGTTTCCAGAGTGAACCTCAATTATTGGAATACAGGTCTCTTCTTCCATCAATACATGCATCCATCTGTGGTCTCATATCTTGGAGAAATTATTGTTTGTGAGCATAAAGCACTTTTTAACACACACACACACACACGGGTTTGCTGTAGTCATACCCTAACTCACGTTAGGGAATGTTGTTTGATCCATGCTATCCCGTGATGATACCTCAGGGAGAATTCAGTGACATCGAAGGTGAAAGCTTCATTAAGCAGGATGGTAAAGAGTGGACATGCCCCAGATGAGGAACCTGGGAATGGTGACTGCAGTCTGACATAAGCAGGAAGGCCATGGGTTAAGACCCTTTGCTGCAAAGTTGTGATCTCAAAATAATAGGGAGCGTTCATACCTACCTTGATCTTGGTACTGTCTGACCTGAAGTCAGTAAAACTTCTCAAGTCAAAATGTCTCCAAGTGAATTATCCGGTATGGCTGATGTCCTAGAAAATACTTGACTTCGTATCTGGAATTATTTTTGTAACCTCTCTAATTTTACAACAGATATGGATCAGACTCTTAGAAAACATCTGTATGATTGGTCTGAGACTGACTTCAATTTTGCAGCCATATAATTTATATAAGAGAAATCACTGCTTTTCTCTCACTTGTTGGTGGATGGAGGACCCTGGGGACTGAACCTACTAGGCCGTGGCTCTCCCATAGATCTACATGTATATCCCTATCTCACTTTTTAAAAGAGCCATTCATTTTCTTTTGTGCAACTCTTAAATGATTCTATCATAAAACAATATAGGATATAATTCAAACACATTTCCTGGGTGTCAAATACAAACAATACAATAGCACACACACTAAAAATATTGCTACCTGTAAGGTATCATGAGAAATACAGGATAGCAACTGGTATGCACATCGTTTCTGCCTCCAGTGATGCATCCAGCATCAGTCGAGGAAAAAAGTTGAGACCCATTTGCATGATACCTTACAGTATTTTAGCAATCCATTTTGCATGGTGAATCAGGTAATGTGAGAGAACATTTGATACCACAGTGTTGTTTTGACATGATTTCCTCTATTTCAGCAACGTTTTTTACATTTCATAGTTTGCGATCCAATAAGTGTAGTCTTTCAGAAATTTTTTCTGCGTGTTATTTTTAATTCATTTTTTTAAATTCATCAATGAAGTATGACTATTTGGCAGGTGCCAGTGACTCACATTTATAATCCTAGCTACCTATAGGCAGAAATCAAGCTAAGCTATGCTTACACACAAGACCCCATCCCAATTCATAGTTGAGTGCAGTAGCACAGCTGTGTGTGGAGTGTGCGGCTGGGGTGCCAGCCCAGCTCAGCACACACACAGGACCCCATTCAAAAGCAGAATATGGCCAGGCGCCATGGCTCATACCTGTAATCCTAGCTACTCAGGAGGCTGAGATCTGAGGATTGCGGTTCAAAGCCAGTCCGGGCAGGAAAGTCCATGAGCCGCTTATCTCCAATAAAACCACTAGAAAACAAGAAGTGGCGCTGTGGCTCAAGTGGTAGAGCGCTCACCTTGAGTTGAAGAGTGCAGGGAAAGTGCCCAAGCCCAGAGTTCAAACCTCACCACCGACAAAAAAAAAATACGTGCAAAAAGGCTAGAAACAAGACAGAGGGCACACATCCCTTGAATTGGAATC